GAGACACACTGCTGTATACATATGGGTGACTTTTTACATGTAAAATAGTGTGGGCTTTGAACTTGGTTGGGTCTGGTCTGGTTTTTTAGGAAAAGGTTCTTCTGGAATTCCTAAAAAGAAGTACACTTGTTTTTCCATGTTACAGACACAATGAGCAGCCTCTTCTTTTTTTTCCCAATTAGGAAAAAGGCACTGGGTGGAAGAAGTACACCTGCATTTTAAACCACTATACACCTGCAGTATGGTTACTCAATGTATGTGGAAATTACTGACAGACCTCCCATAGGTTCTGGAGTACCAGTTTACAGGTACCAAAAGGAAAAAAATGCATAGATCCTAAGCACTGAACATCTTTAGTTTCAGTTACAATGATAATAATAATAAAAAGGAAAAACGTACTACAAACATCAACTATTGCCGGTTTGGAGGAGAGGATGGAGAAAGAACCGAACGAAAAGGCAAGTCAGGGAAGAAATGGAAATGGCCAGGATTAGATGGGCACAGCATGGATGAAAATATGGGTGGGTCCATGATAGTAAAATACAGAGCAATGAAAGCATGAGTAGGCATACCCCACAGATGTGAAAGCAAGGAATAGACACACAAAAAAACCTGTGGAGCTTCAATTGCACCATTGCTGCCACCATCCCAACCTTTGTGACCGTATCCTGCAGACAACCCTGTAGTCACAACAACCCTTATGCCTTGTACAAGAGAAGAGGAGAGCAGCAGTGCCCAACTGGACTGCATCCAAGTTTGAGAAATGTCTGCTTGTCCTAATCAGGGGTAATTAAAACAAGCCAGGATTAAATTGTTTGCTTTAGATCATTTTTTAAAAACCCATTTGGGGTTAGAAGAAGACACACGGCCAAGAGCTGAGTTGCCATGAGTCACAGAAGTTATTCTAAAATGAAAGCTGAATGCTTCTTTGGATGCACATTAATGAAAGGGAATATGCAAGTACAAGATTTCCCTCGGTTTATTTCTAACCACCATCTAAAGTTTAGGTGGACAGCTAGATTTTGAACCATCACTTAGATCATTGTTCAGACTAGACCTGCAGCTGTGGCAGTGAAGTGACTCCAAAATTCCAGGTATTACATGCAATTAGAGCAGACAGGGTTGCCCCACTTTTCTTATACTTTTTAAAAATCGTGGCAAGAGAGAACTTTTTCCAGATTGCTGCTTTTCTCACCCACAGGGTTGTGACGTACTTCATTAGCTGAAATTCTCTGTTCTGCACAATAATTGAAAGGTACTGATTCTTGAAACCCACCTCTACATTTGAATATGTGATATAGGGTGGGCTAAAATAAGGCACATACTTACAAATAAATGCAGAAGCAAATTTGTTCTGAATGTTCATGTATATATTTGCATACCTTTCAGGGCACTCTGCACAGATGCCAAAAATCTGAATACAGCCAAAAATGTGGGTGAGGGCAGCTAACACATTCTCAAACCAATTATATTTGTGCTCTGTTTAAAATTAAACATACAATTCTGATCATAACTGAGGCAGCTCAGTTATGAGCATCCAAAAAAGCCCTAGCCTTCCCTAATGAATCACAGGCTGGTGTGGCTGTTAACTGTGCAGGGCAAATTTGAAACATGCTAGAAATTTGCCCAAAGTCCCTCCCCATTGAGCCCGTGGGCTGAGAAATGTGGATAAAATAGAAAGTCCCTCTGACTGGGTGGGGGGAGTTTGAAAGGAAAAATATCACCACCTTTTTTTTTCTTTTTTCTTTTTGCTTACATTCTTTCCATTGACCAGACCCTCAACTGGTATTTGGTCTGAAAGCCATACTAGATGGACTGGATGGATGCTAAACTCGCACATCCTAGCACTATGCATGCCAGTTAGATTTCCGCTCCATTGAGTTTAGTGTGAATTATTTCGCAGGAAACAAATGAAAGAAGAATGTGGAGCAAATGAAAAATAAAACTTTACTTAATAAGTAGCTAGAATAGAAGATGCCTGGGTGATGCTAAATAAGGAAATCACTGCAATGTTTTACCTTTCTATGTGTTGAATTGAAATAGCCATTGTTATACCTCCTTAGCTGGGCACTCAAATCTAAGAGAGTTACAATTCACTCAAAGTTGATGCTAGACGGGATGGCCATTTTGGATAGATTCCTTTTTATGTGCCTATCCCATAAATAGAAAGAAAAAAATCCACTGTATGGAGAGAAAGCTTATTTCTCCATTGGATATCCTAGTCTGAAACCAATAATACACTACAATGAAGCATATCTACAAAACTGGTTCTTTCTAACCAGTTATATTCCTTTTAATCTCTCCCAGACCTTTTAGATAGGCTGCAGTTGAAATCCTCTCTAAACCATTTTTTGTTACTGCTGACCTCTTGCCATGACTATGCTAGCTGAGAATCTGGAAGGTCACAGATACCCAAGCCTACAGTAAAAAAAGTAATTTTAGGAGAGGACTATGCCTGATCAACTCAACTTTTAAACTAAATAATCCTGTGACATTTTAAAGTAGCAATTTTATTAGGTCATAACATTTCATGGACTGGAGTCATTTAGTAAGATGCACAAAGTGTTATCTTCAGTTGGAGAGGTGTGTGTGTGTATGTGCAGCACTCACATATATCCAAGAACAGAATAGAATGATCCATTTATAATAGCAGTCCCTGGTGATTATAGGATTACCTACTGGATCCATGACTAGCTGGTTGATTCCCTATTCTCAAACTCACTGGAAGATTGTGTCATATATCGTGGGTTGGGGGTGGGGAGCAGACAAAGGGCCACCAGGCAAATAGCTACTGAGAAGTCGCACGCACTGGCTTATCTGCCAGGTGAGGAGGAACCAGTGGGGATAGCTATCTTCAGCAAATCTGGCTGCTAAGCAGTTGCAGTATGTTCCAGTGGGCAGCACCTAGTGACTATTTGGAAATAGAACATGTAAATAGAAAAGTCACACTTCCTCCAACACTACTGGAAGCAGCCCAAGTCTAGATTTTAGATTAATTTTAATTTAAGGCACATCCAGGCTAAGGCTAGAATTCCATAGTGTGCTAGGTAGGCCATGGAACCTTTATCCATAGTTTATGAAATAAATCATAATTGGCTGAGCAAACCCATAACACTAAGCCATAAATAAAATTTATGAAACATATGACAACATGCTTACAACATGCTATGACAAAACTAAATAGAACACATTACAATTAAGTACCATATGTGATCCCAGCCTAAAAAAATAGAAAACAGTGTTTTGTACAGCCACCCATTAATCTGGCAGTGGACCAAACATTTGATACTGTGGCAAGCAGATTGGACAATGGCCACACAGTGTCGTTGCAACTTACAGTCCCCCAAATGCAGTCATCCCCCCTTCCCCACCTGCTGCTTGCTGAGATTCTTGCAAAGCATGTTAAATACCCTGGAGTCTGATCTAGCAGCACGCTGCTTATGTTCTTAGGCAAGGGCCCATTCTCAGAATCACTTAATGGGGATTAGTTATACATTAAGCACTAAGAGATCCTGACTACAAACTCTCACTTATGTTCTGTGGTTGGGTTGGTTCACTCCCAGTGCCTTTTGTGAATGACAGAGCATGCAAGATGAAGTGCAGAAAGAGATGTAACAGAAGATGGTGCAATGAAGCACACAGAATAAGTTTTCTGTTTGCATTTGTTTATTTATTGCGGCAGCTTATACCCCTCCTTTCCCCAGAAAGGTTTCACAAGGCATCTCAAATAAAATGAAATAAAAGACAACAAGTATTTGCTGTATTCTAGCACAGTAGCAACTTTCCAATCTGCCCAAAGTGGGCAGGGATTGCCACCTCCGGCCATAGGTAGAAGTGGAGGCTACTGCCTTATCCAGATGCTTCTTATGCACCCAATGCAGCTTAGGCCAGGAAGGATGGTGCCCTTCAGCTATGTTGGACAGTAACTTTTTAACTCTTGGCCAGCTGGCTGATCTGGGGTAAAAGGGGTTTAGTTCAGCACATTTAGAGGATGAAAAGCTAGGGAAGTTTAGTGCAATTGAAAGCTGACCATCTAGTGGTCATCTGGATTTTTGCAACTCAGGTTTGGCTGCCCTAGTGGCCCCGGACGGTTGATCATTAAAGAGCAAAGCCAGGAGACTGAAGTAAAACAATCGGAGAACCAAGAAGGTGATAAAGGAGTAACATGCTCTTATCTCCTGGGCCTTGAAGAAACACAACCATTACTTATATCCAGGACCATGGCTTAGCTCAATGTGTGAACTCAGCTGGCTCCAAACTACACAGTAGGATTCATGGCCAAGTGGAGATTTGGAAGTGAGTCTCCCCAGCATTAGTCTATGTATGAAGAGCTCATTAAAGTAATCCCATCTGAAGGCGGCTACGGAAGGAATGACATCTGAAGAACAATTCCTCCATTTATGGATAGAGCATGTTTGCACCACTGGTTGCATGGGAGTCAGTAAATCAGCAGCCCAACATCTCCAGTGTGAAGCTGCAGTGCTTAGGAAAGCTTCACCTGCTGACTGTGCAACCCAGAAGAGTCCAGCCAAATCACGTCACCTGCTCCAAGACAGAAGTTGAGGTGAATCTTCCTTTCAGGAAATGCTCTGGACCTACCTTTGTGCCTGTCCTGGCACTCTTCTTCCCCCAGACTCTAGGACTGGCAAGAAGCGATAACTGAAAGGAGCAGATGAGAAAGGAATGCCGCACAGAGCGGCCAGCTCAGCAACTGATCATCAATATCATTGTAGGAGTGCAAGTGAAAATAAATCCATGGGACTGTTGTTGGAGAGGCGGCTGGGCTTCTCTGGAGCACATGCCAGTTCCTTCATCCACTCAGCCCCCCCATCCCCCTTTCAGCCACAACACTGCCCCAAGCAGCCAACTAATCCCCATAGGGAGAGTACATGAAATCAGATGGACAAGTTTTGATGTGAAGCAGCAGCTTAGGGCAAGCTCAGGTTTCCTAGAGGTTTGCTATATTTATCTCTGTGATTTAATGCCCGCACGGGGTTTAAATGCCACCAAGCAGTTGGTGTGAGGAGCCAGAGTTTCACTCCCCAGCGCAGACTCTGCTCTGCCAGACGCTCACTATGGAACTCCTAGAGACCAACCCCTATATTTTTACAGACCGGTTCTATGATGGGGAAAACTACCTGAGCCCACACTTACACAGCTACGAGCAGGCTGCCTATCAAGACCGAACGGCCATGACACTTTGTTCCGATGACCGGGCAGCTATAGAAGACAAGGTCTCTGTTGTGCCAGACCATAGTCCTGGCCAGTGTCTGCCTTGGGCATGCAAAGTGTGCAAGAGGAAAAGTGTGTCCATCGATAGGCGCCGTGCTGCCACCCTAAGAGAGAAGCGCCGGCTGAAGAAAGTCAATGAAGCCTTTGAAGCTCTGAAACGGAGCACTTTATTAAACCCAAACCAGCGTCTTCCCAAGGTGGAGATCTTGCGCAGTGCCATCCAATACATTGAACGCTTACAAGCTCTACTCAGTACCCTCAATCAACAGGAACGGGACCAACCGGAACTACGCTTCTGTAATGCCAGCACCCAGCCAGTGGTAAGTGCCAGGGGAAGGGTACAAGCAACTATCCACAGGGTGCACACAACTCCTCATTCAGCAATAGGAGCTCATGGCTACAGCACTAGCCTTTCCAACTATTTTAGACTGTGGGCATGCCATAGTATGTTCAAAATTCACACTGATCACAATAGTTTAGCACATACAGTTGATGGGATGATGACTGTCATTTATATAGCTCTAAAAGTGGACTAGACAAAGTTATGGAGACTAGAGATGTGAGTACTCTTGAATCACAGGCAGTGTTTCTTAAATGGCAGTTGCTGGGTAATGACAGCGTTTGGCCATTGTATTGTGCAGACTCTGGGACCAGAAGGGCCTTTGGCCCAATCCAGGAGGGTTCTTATGTTCTTATGAATGCCAGCTTTTCTAGCTTCAGATATTCGCACCAATATCCATTACTGAGTAACTCTACTGAGGTTAAAAAAATTCCTGCCTGAAACTCTCAAAGTTATCCAACCATCCTAATCTGATTCAGCCTAATCAACTTTCTATGAGCCTATGAACAGAATAACCTGACCCAAAGCAAAACAAAGCAAATATATTGTCTTTCTCATAGCCTTATTTATTACTTAATTGTATTTCTATATTGTTCTCTTTTTCAAAGGAGCTCACAGCAGTTCACAAGAGACTAAACACTATTTTAAATGAAACCATCATAATAAAACCAACATTCCTTAAAATTGGCAAACATATAAATTACAACAAAGTTTTTGTCATACACCACAGGTAATGACCATGTTCATCAACATATCTGACCAATTAGGCAAACGTACAAGCAACTCAGCACTGACTCAAAAAAATCTGTATAAACTGGAAGATTATATATCCAGAAGAAGAATGAATATTATTTTAATATAGCATTATTGTATAACGTGTTATTAAATATACATTATTAGTGGGCAATCTTTGACAGCATCATGTATATTTCTATCTCTATAAATTAATTTGTAACTGTACTTCTCATTTAAACTACTTGAACCCACAAACTACTGAATCTACTGCAAAGAGTGTGGAAAAACTATAGTAGACAAACCAACCCCAGAATGATCAAATACATTTTACAGTGATACTTTAGTTGTCTAGAGAATGCATGCTGTAGCACCTAGATGTATTTTTCAAGATGGGCACAAAAAGCAGGACAATAGCTAAAACAGAAGTGACTGATGGATAAAATTGTCTTCAACAGATGGCACTTCAGAATCAAGCTCCAGCAGATTGCCAAGGTAGAGTGATGGGGTGGGTGGTGGGAGCTGACACCTGTTAAGTTCAAATGGGTTCCTAGATGTCTCCATTTAAAAACATCCAGGGGCATTTGGATACAAACCTGGAGTATAAATCCTAATGGGAAAAAAATGAAAGAGGAACAAATGCCTGAGAAACTGTCTGGACTCTTCTTATGAGGTGATCCAGCAGCAGAATTTGCCTTGTGACTTTAATGCTCCATATTTTTCTAGTGCCCTTTCAATACATAGAGCTTGCCAGAAACATATTTTTTCTTATACTTGGAATACAAATATTAGGAATGTTTGTTTGTACATGAGAGAATGAGAGAATCCCAAAAAGAAACTACTAGAATTGTTATTACAGCTATTGAAACTACTTTCAATTGGGGGCTGCTTGAAACTAGAATAAAATATTCAAAGCTGTAGCTTTTTATTTCTATTCAACTCTTGCCTCTTCCATCACTTTGATCACTGATGCTTGATATTTCCATGGTTTTGAGCTGAAAAGTATTTTGCAAGGATAAAATTAGTGGAGCTGTAGCATTATACAGATCTTTTTCATTCCCCCCCCCCCCCCCGCAAGATGTCCACATCCTTGGAAGAAAACTTCCTATTTTGCACAAAGAATACTCAGCTGTTAATTGGAGATAATCCATGATGGCAATTCTGTTTATTAGCACTGGATGGAGGTAATTCATTTTATCCTTGGAAAATTATCCATACAAATAACATATCAACCGTTATTCTAAGCAACAGGAGGAATGTGCTAGCAGAAATTTCATAGACAATGATCACTGCTGCATGTGATTTTTGTGCCAACAGACTCAATTTTCCCCTTACATTTTTCTCTATTTTGTAAACTTGCTGCTGATTTAACTGGCACAGATTAAACAGGTTGTCTTGGACAAGTCATCCAACTTTAATAGTCGGGTGTATTTATTTAAATTCAGAATGCAGTATGATAGGGTCTCCTATGCTTTTCTCAGCTATTTTATTTCAGGAATCTTACTTTTCACTGCATCTTCCCATTCTACACAAACCCACAACGCATACATACATATTCTCACACAGACACACACACACATTTCCAAAAGAACAAGAGGAACAGCTGCATGCCGAAATCCCCCTCACACTCACACAAAGCCCTTGAGTAAGGAAAAGCTATAAGCTATTGCGCCAGTAGCACTTAACAAATACTTTGTCATAACTATATTTCAAACAATGTATAGGTTTACAGGTACGACACAAATCACATCTAGAACAGAAAGTCTCATTGTTCTCTCAGGTGCTGGAGCCTTGGATTCATGAAGTAATGATATCTTTGAGGTGGTTTTACCAAACAAATCCATATTTTAAAACAGCTAATTCAGTCTGCACATTAGTGATCCAATTGCAGAGCCTGCATAAACATGTTCAGAATCAACTCAGCTCCTGCCATTATCCACCTCATATCATGTGAATTGTGGTTTCCTGTAAATCTCATTTCTCCATATTTGTTTTGAACAACAGCCTGGGTCATCTTTGAAACTACCAAAAACAAGAAGTGGTGGGTAATAACTCCAAGATAAAAAAAAAAGGGGTATTTTCAAGGGCTATGTTGAAAAATTCTGAAGCCCAGCGCATTTTAGATTGGTTTCTTCTTGAGGACCTCTCTGCCCTCCATGTTCAACACAGAAAAAAGCTTCTGTATGCAGAAAAATAAGCATATAACCACTTTTCATTTCTGAAACCTTAGGTCTAGATGTTCATGAGACTATTGTTTCTCTATTTCTCCTCTATCCTACATTTTGTTATGATAACTATTTTAACCTGTTTCAATAGCATCATCTCCAAGTTAGACTCATCAACTTTTTCATTGTGAATTGAGATTCTGAACCAGTGACAGATGATTCTTCACAAAATGTATTTTGGGAGAACAAAAAAGAATGGTAGGAAAACAAAGCAACAAAAATGATTTGTTTGATCTAGTACAAAAGAGGATGCAAGGAGGGTATGTCAGTGAGGAACTTTGATAAAATCCCAAAGATCTTCATCTTCTGATTCCAGATGCCAACTGACCATGGATCCAGTAGCACCTCATGCAGTCCGGAGTGGAGCACTCACTTAGAGTTCAGCGCTCATCCTACAGGTAGGCAGAGTACAGGTACCCTCTGAAAATTCAAAAATCCCGATCCAATTGTTATTTGAAATTAAAGTTCTACCCCACTGTAACTCTCCAAACACCCTAACTTCTATTCCTGTACATTCTTAATATACGCACATTTTTTGCACTACTTCCATGGGACTAGAGACAGAAAAATTTTTTTTGTGCTTCTTAAGTCAGAAGAAATACCAATCAGTTGTGAGTGTAAAAGGAAATTATAGGCAACTGTGCTTTTTTAGAAATAGGTAAGCAAGTATTGTGTGGGAGAGTTGGAGATCCTTCTGAGGATTAGAATTGTGTAAAGAGTTCTCTGAAGAGCAACGAAATTTCACAATTTAGATTTTAAAATAAGAAGCTGTTAATTTTAAATTTTATTTTTTATTTTAAAATTAACATTTTTTATAAAATTTTAATTTTAATTTAAAATTAAAATTAAAA